CCTCGATTCGCTCCCCCCATGCCGCAGAAGAAGTGTTTGAGGGGATACCGCTTCTGGAAGGGACAGGCGAGACGTTTGCCTCCCTCTGGGATGCGTTTTCGCTTTGGAGCGCGCCGCTGCTTGGGCCCATCCTCGTCATCTTCCCGACCCCGACCTCGCACCTTATCGCCACTCTGAGATGACCATTGAGACGTTGACCCTGTCTGACACGGTGAGGTATCCGAGATGGCGAGTGAGTTGGTCGACTTGGATGATGTGTCTGTTTTCTGTGAAGACGCCGGTGCGCCGCCAAGCTCCGGCTCTGCAGCTGCGCAGCTCCCCTCGCAGATGAGACTCGTTCCTGGTCGCTTATAGGCACCTACAATTGCCTCGATGCACCTCGACTCGGTCGACAAAAAAGGGCTGCTGGCGGCAGTCCCACTGGCCCATGAAAAGTCGGAGATGTCGCTGTCTTCGTCGCTGGTAGTCACACTGCTTGCACGTTCCTGTGCAGAGCTAGGAGTTTGGGCTGAGCCGTGTGCGTCCCACAACGGGATAGTACCGGGCAGTGGAAGGGGTTGTCCCGGCCCACAGTCATTGGAATTTATGGCGCCCGGTTCCTGCTGGTCATTTAGGGTGATGACCCTGTCGTGTGTCCCAACCAGCGGTGCAACATGGGTTGCGGAAGATCCCCTCGTGCTCACTTGGGCCGGGTTGACCACATTTTCGTGAGTCGCCTGTGGTGATGGTTTTGCTGATTTTGCTGATTTGTGGAAAGGAGTTCGGACCTGGGATTGTGGTGTCGGAGACGGTGGTGGGCGCGAGTGTGATAGTAATGGGTGTGTTGTCGGGAGCGACTTCTCGGTTGATGCAAGTGGCTCCTCGTCGTCGGGGTCACGTTTAGTTCGCTTCAAGGTGACTTCCCGCCGTTTCCGAGTGCTGTCACCCCTGCGGTGACCTTCATAATTGACATCATCGCGGCGGTAGAGGCTGTCGTATGGAAAGTCGGTAACTTCATCCCCGTGGTCTGGCGCTGTACACGGGGGTCAGACATTGTGAAGACGCACTTCATGGTACTCTCCGATGCTTACACACAGTGGCTTTCTTTTGGTATTGGAGAAACCTTCTCATGCTAAACACCCCTGAAATAGCTGTTTCCGGTAAGTGGTGAGGCCCTGAGAAGTATCCTACCTCCCCATCGTCTAAAACCACGGCGAGGAAGAAACTTTGCACATTTATTTGGCAATATTCTCGCAGCGCTCTATCGATAGCCTACAGCGCAATTAGAATCCCAAGACAGATCTCGGAGAGCAAGACGAGAGACGAACAATGGGAGGAGGCTTGATTGTCGCGGTATCATATAATTTAGCATCCTCGGGCTCTCCATCTTTCACGGCCCTCTCCGCCATCCACTGCGGCCGAGGATAAGCGCCGCGACGCCAACCTGTGACCATCTTTGCCCTGGTCCCCAAAAGCTCGGATGCTGGTAATCGTGCGAAGGTGCTGTTGTCGTTCCGGGTGGCCGGACCGAAGATTCGGCTTCAAGACTGAAGTGCTGCGGTGCGGAAACGAACACCTCAGTCAGAGAACTGTTACGATGATAAGACGCCGGTCTTGATCGAAGGAACACTGTAGATTACTTGCGGCCCTAACGGTTGCAATTTGCGCCGTCGGAAAAGCGCTCTTGGAGCTCGGGACCGCCCTAATTTTCGGGGCAGGTACTGCTGCAGTAGCAGTGGTTGCTATGGTGGTGGAATAAATGTCCCTGTCCGGAGATCGCTCAATTGCTTGCAGTCTGAAGTCGAAGCAGGCGTTGGGATGGTCAGACAAGTTGCAAGGCACTCTCGATGAAAAACATGGGAAAAAGGGAGAATTGGAGAGTTGAAATTGGCTCTTACCAGCTCGACCCTGCTGCCTTGGGAAACCTACCTATTTTTAGAGAAGGCACGTGCGCATGAGGCCCGCCGGACCCGAAAGACGCAGCTGCGTCTTCAGCTCTGCGGCATGCAACTGGAAGCAAGACGAATCTGTGGCCTATCAACGCCAAGATGCGATCCAGGGCCCAGACACAACAGCGATCAAGCCGGGAGGTCGGCTTGCTAGCATTTCGCGTTCTCTTGGCTACCATCTTTAGGTTATCTGTTTGTCTAAAAATGTGTCTTGCCTTTGAAGATGCTCAGCTTCGGAAGAAAATTGAAGGGTCAACTGGCATATAAGATAAAGCCCCGAGAACCGTAAACAGGAGATCGATCAAGGATAAGCTAGGCATGATTAGCCCTGGAGACTTTATCAGCTCAATTCACGTTCACTGGACTGAAATTCGCCATCTGGTCGATTGGGATGCCGCTAAGGACTGGAGCAGGTGTTGGTGGAAAACTCGGGTAAGATACCTCCTTACCGGGCCGCCGTCGCTGGCCGACCACTTGTTGTCGGCGCCAAACGGCAAGGCTGCAACCGAAAGGACCGCCCGCGAACGAGCTGCAGAGCACATGCTCACGGATTGGCAGAAAAGGTGGGATGGGGTATTCCCTCAACCATGACTAACTTCCAATCCTTACTCAGCGGTGGACATGACCTCTCCGCCTGTTGGGCTAGCGGCAGTGGCGTCTCGCGTTCGGCAGCTGGCGGCAATGACGAAAAGGCATTTCCGCCGTAAATTTGACTCCTCCACTTCCTGCTCACTCTCCCCTACGAAACCCATTGAGCCACACCCCTGGCTGGTAAGCTGGTTAATGTTCTCCTGGGTTTCTTCCGGCATCCACACACCCCCCTGCACCAACTACCTACCGAACCCGAAATCGGGGACTCCCCGACTCTCATCACTCCGCTCGAGCCACCAAATGTCTCCGGAGACAGAAACACATCCATCTCAGCCTTTTTCTCCTCAGACACAGTCTCCAACAATCCTTCCCTTCTCCCCAAGGACGTCTCAACCATCCCCACCTCCTGCCTCGATTGCAGTCCCTTATAGCTCGCCGCCGGTAGTCTCCAGCCATTTTAGACGGTTTGGCGTCCCCGCCTGGGTGTTGGAGCCCGAAATTCTTCTTCACCGTGCTGCACTTCAACGTCTGGTCGCTCTGGAGCCCCTGGCTGAACCGCTCTAACCATGTCGAGTCTTTCCTTCTTGAGCTTCTGCCGGTGCAGCTTGGTCCACGGGGCAAAGACGGCGAGGGTCAAAATTCCGACGCACGCCAAACCTACGGCGATGCCTACCACTACGGTGTGAGCTTGTGTCGTTTACTTGGTTTTCTTTATGGATGGCGCAGCGCTTGTTTTCTCCCTGAGGCTGTCCTGCCTTGGCGCAAGTGACCCGTCTTCGGATTGGCACATTATTAGGAGAGCGAGGTGTCGCGCTTGGCTATTGCCGGGCCTTTGGATACGCGGTTGATGCTGATGTTGTCACGGGGAGCCTCCCGGGAACAGCTGGGCATGGCGTGCTCTCGAAAAGAACTCCTTGTTGTTTGCCCTTCTTTCATTAGCGCTGTAGTCGTGGGATGTGAAATGTATTGCCCATTCATTGCAGTTGAGGAAAGGTTTCCTTTGTTGTTTCCAACACCAGGGGCTTTGAGGGTTGTGTGCTTTTCGAACAGTGGAAACTCGGACGTGGAGGAGGTTCCCCCTAGCAAGCACTGGTCAGAAGCTGAAATATTCGAATTGGGTGTCGCTTTCCAAGATTAGATCTTGAGCAATCCTGGGCGGAAATTTGTATCGATAAATTTTAAGCCGACATTGAGCAGGTTTTGAGACAGTCCCAGATCCTTCGCCAAGTCAGGTTGGCTGCTCCTTCCAAGTTTCGGCAGCTGAGCCCAACTTTTGCTCTTCGATGCCAACCGGTCTCAACGCTCAAGCCCCAAACAGTGGCAGCCTTGATAGATTCCACATTTGGTTGCGTCAGGTTGAAGAAGTGAGATGCGCATCTGCTTGTGGTACCAGGTGTGAACAAGTGGTTCTTTGTACTCCTAAACAATGGCAACCACCACACGGGCCACTTTCAGAGGGCACAACACCTCAGGGGTCATAATACCGCTGCGTACCTCGTCTGCTCGCATCAGCACTATTTTGGGTGGCAACGTTACCTCGTGTCAACAACACATTGAATTTTTCTTTAACAAAACGTCATTTGGCAGCGATAGTGGTTCTCATGACATGTCCGCACAAGGGCTGAAGTGACACACGTGAAATCATTTTGATCGATTCCGCCCTCCCTGGCGTCGCAGTAAAGCCTGGTTGGATGAACAAACTTCTGAAATGTCAACCAAGACCATAAAATACTTTATCCCATAGCCCTTTGGAAATTCACCTGCTGCTCGGGTCTTCCCTGTAATTGCACACACCTTTCAGCTCATTGAAATCACCACAACGAAATCTGCCCTGCTAGCAATGACACACCCCGGGAGAGTCAAGGGTTGCCTCCTCCGCAGTTTCTGGTGCCCTGTATTCCGGCTAAATAACCATGCACCGAGTTCTCCTTCAAAGACGGTATCGGCATCCTCTCGCTCGGGCTAGCGCTCCGTGTGGTCACGGGCTGCTCCAACTGAACCCGTGACATGCTTGAAGTGATCTCGACAACTTTTTTGATCCCCAGTCACAAGAGTAAAAGTGCCAATCTAACCAGGCGGAGGGCGAAGAGATTGTGTTTCCCGCTGTGCCGGGAGATATAAGGTTGCTTTGATGGTGTTTGAAGGGGGTTCGGCTGGACACTGGATCCCTAACTGCCATCACCCGTATCTCGTGATTCCGAGTTCCTGTGATGATGCATTTGTTTCCATCAAGCATCTTCCATCTTTTAATAGAGTTGGTAATCATCACGAATGGTGTTTGCCTCCTTCTTGTTAGATTTCAGCTCCTCGTGATGTGCCGTCCGCAAGGATACATTCAGGCAAGCTGCTGATGTTACTTTCACATGTAGAACACCACGGTCTGCTTAACCTCTACCACCTCGTGATTAGACCCCATAAGCCGAGAAAACCAGCTACAAACTTGACTAGAAAGCTAGTTCCGGGTAATTAACAAAAGCCACAGGGCGGGTAGCGTAGTGGTCAGTGTGTTCACGAAGCATTTTTTCAGCGTTGCGTTTCCAGCGTTTAGCGAGAGTCCTGGGTTCGAATCCCAGCCCGCCTAAGCCCGTATTTTTCGCTTCAACCTCAGACTGCATCCAAATACATGGAGCAGGGTCATCATCGAGAATGTCTCCATGTGCAGGTTGCACAGAGCTCACCTTTGATCTCATGTTGAAGCAAGACACCAACTCCCATCCCATGATTTTTTGAACCCATTCACTAAAACTGCTGCTACATGAGCTGGTTCCGCGCGCTTGCACACTTGAGTCACTTTCACCTCTTTATTCGCATACTTTTTTGCTTCCCTTTGGGCAACAGTGTGGTTTGACTGTGACGCACCGCCTAATAGCAGGACGTGTTTGTCGTCATCCACAACTGAATCACCTTCCGACCTGACATTGGCTGCCTTTTGCTTCCGCTGCCTGCCAAACACATCCACAACCCACCTGCGGTTCTAAATTTCCCTTGTGGCTCCTGTTCTGCCCGCCTTTCTGTAGCAGACCCTACTTCGCCTTCCATCTCTCGCTGGCGAAACGTCGAAGCTCTTCGACAGAGCTATAACTCTCCGCCCAAGGCTCACATCATGCGTTTGGTCCCGTCCTCCGCGGCATCAAGAAGGAAGGAAGAGGAAGAACTTCACTAGCTGGCACCCCACAATCAATTTGGTCTCCTTCCGCCATGGTACCGGACCCACGTCCCCATTTTCCCCAATCGGCATATTTTGCCAACACAACCATCCATTCCAATCTCGGCCCCGCCGAACCAAAGGCACGATCCAAGATCTCGCGTCTGAGAGAACGAATTCTCCGCAAACTCAAACCGCCTTTGCGTCTCTCCCCCGCTTCTTCTTTAGACGACGTTAGAGGTCCTATCTTCTCTGCCGGCCTCACCTCGGAATTTTCCCCATGCCTCGTCGGAGGCCCGACCCTCCCTCCTCTGCCGCTCAACGCCCCGTCCTTCTCGTCCCTCCAGCACGTCACTTCCACAAAGATCAAGCAAAACGTCGCCCGCAACTTTGACTACCGTCCCAAGGTCCGTCGTCTTGCCGGCCAGGAAGAGTTTGGGGTACCACCGCCGTCTTCGCCAGCCCCACTGCGCACGAATGCCACCGCAGTCGACGCTCCTCCATCTCACCATGGTCTGGCTCCCGCGCCGTCCTCCCCTTCGGTTTCAACACCGCTCAGCGTTGGCGCCGGATCCGGTTCCGGGCAGAAGAAACACCCCTCTCCAGGGAGAGATGATCTCGCAATCCTCGGGCAATATTTTCGCTCTGTTTATGGGGACGTCCCCGGGATGATTGCGACTGGGCAGGCGGAGGGGGGCTTCCATCCCGCAGTCGTCTCGTCCCGTGCGAGCTCCACGCGCTGTGCGGAAATTCCGGCCTTTCGATCACGGATCCCGATTTCCTCGGTGCTTTCAAGTTGTGGGGGTGTTCCTTCGGCTACGGTTGTTCCGTCTTCTGCTTCGACTCGGTCATCGAGGATACCGGTGGGTGTTTGGCGGAGGCGGAGGCTAGTATCCGATGTGGAGGAGAGGAAGGGCGAGAATTGGAACGGAGATTCTCAGGACAGCTACATCTAGATGAACTGGGCTCCTGATGGGGAAAGAGCTAATGGGCGTTTGACTGAGGTCTTGAGCTTTTGCTCAAGCTACGGACTGGGATCAGGGACCTTGTCGTTAGGATGCAGCTGTTTTAGCTCTGATTTATCTAGAAATTAGCGTTGGGCAAAAGCTTTAGATCTTGCATGGATGTAAAGTGCCAAGTTTTGATGGTCTTGCGGCCACGTTGGGTCCGCTGGGCAGGTTCAAGTGCGTCGGTGTTGTGATGGGGGCGGAGGTTAGGAATAAAAGGGAAAACCTTCGGCTCCCCCCCCCCCCCCCCCCCCGGTGACTGTCCCAATAATTAATTGAGCCTCGCCTCAACTGAAAAATCTATTATCCAAGATCGTTACGAGCATGCATTCTCCTTCAATTCCTTTCCTGGCAGCTCTCTTCCAAACTTTAGCGCACACATGAAAGGTGTTCCCTCAGCTGGTCCTGATAGCCCTGCAGCTTTGCCATGACATTGTCCGAGACGAGGTTGCTCTCGTCCATGCTTTGCAGAGTCTCTTCGTGCATTTCGACAATCTGTCGTATTCCCTCCATCGTAGCTCTCAAGGCCTTGTTCTCGCTCCGGAGGTTGGCGTTCCACCTCTTTCGCCTGCACGATGCGCATTGCGGTGATGATGCGGCTGTGCACTGACAGGACTGCTTGGATGTGTCGTTGAGACTCACGGCTGGTGCTTCGTGGGAAGCTTCGACATTGTCGTTGGGGTTCGGCACGGCAAATGATAGCGTAGCGGACGACCCCTCCTCCGTGAAGGCCATTGTGGCACTAAATAACTGACCGCTCAGGGGATCCATCGCGGAGAACGTGTGCAAAAGGTCCTCTTGGTATGACATGGCAGCCGCAAAGTGGGACTCTTCCTGGCTATCTAGTCCGTTGGAAGGCGTGGCTGGGACGTGTGGATCCAACGGCGTCAGGCCACTGGAGTTGGTAGAGTTGCTGCTTGGAGTGAATATGCTGTTGATGGGACTCGTTCCGTTGTAGAAGCCTGAGGACGGAGATGATGTAGGATATTCCACCCGGGAATAATCTGCAGTGAGCGTTGGTTTTTAGTTGATCACATACAATTGATCACATACAAAAATACTCTTGGGGTGGACTTACAAGGCGTGTACTTTGCTCTGTAGCCTTCTGGTCCATGTTCTTCCTTGTCGGTAAACAGCAGCCCAAATATCCGATACCACGAGTCATCGCTTTTGTTGTCAATCTTTTCGGCCCGCAAGCTGGAGGCTTGGCTCTCATGCAACCAAAGCTTGGGCGGACTTTGTCGCTTGAGGCAATTTCTAGTTGTGTGACAAGCCCGGGCGGCGTCGACCTTTTTGAACGCTTTCCAGCAATTGGAGCAGTGATGGTCTATTCCGTGGCTTTCCAGCAGATGTTGCCTGACCTGTCAGCAGGTTTTCGTGCAAGAAATTCAGGTCACAGGGAACATGAACTTACTTGACTCTAGAGACTGTGCCCCAGCCGTAACCACGTTTAGATCCGTGTGGCATACCGCAAAAGGGACTATCGTGCGGATATCGTTTCTGGTATGGACAGGCGTAGAGCAGTCCTTGACCCGCCTGGTCCCCCGGTGGCCCCATGGGTGCCGGTTTCTTGGAACCTGGCAAGTCCTCGTCATCGTCAGCACCACCATATTGATCACTTCTCGATCTCTTGTTTGATGCGTTGGGGTTGCCGCGCAGGGTGTCGGATTGCAGGGTCCGAGACGTGGTCGCGTCCTGCCCATCTTGACTGCCGCTACTGGAATCTTGCCCTGAGCCAGTATGGTTGTTGACACCATGTGCATCGTCCTGGATCGTTGCTGGCGTGTGAAACTTTAATTCCTGCATGAACCTCGCAGAGAACCAGGGGAGGCCCATGTCCATGCCCCCCTCAAACCAAGCCTCTGGCCAGGGGGTTGTCTCTCGTGACCGCGCATCCATGTCTTCGTCGGCGTTCGTGTCCTCATCGAGAGATGCTTCTTCCTGAGAAGTAGGTATCGCAGCGGTAGGTTCGGAAGACGACCCTTTTGTTTGGTCGAGGCTCGTCTCGATGCTGAGCGCTGGCGGTTGGGTTCCAGCCGGATCCGGATGACTCTGCTGGATTCCTGCCATTGTCAAGCCCGCCGATGGACGTTCCAACGGAGTTGTAAGGGCAGTATTGTCTTCAGGTTTTGGATCTGGATTCACAGCAGATGGGCGCTGCCTCGGAGGACGCCGACTCGGGCGACCTCGCCGTTTTGCTGCTTTTGGCGCCCTGGTAGCTGAAGGTTCAACCGAGGGGGAGCACATCGACAGCGGCGAGTCCTCATGCAATAGGGGGGAGGCATTCGCCGATTGCGACGGCCGCGGTGTGCTGAAAATTGACATGTAGCCGCTGTCGGTGGTGTTGGTGGATGAAACAGATCCTGGGGACTCGGCCATACAGTCGACACTGCTCCTCAGAAACTTCATTGTTGGTGCGGCGGCTTGCCACGGTGGCCACGTACTGGTATCCAAGGTCGAAAACTCAAAATTCGAGTCAGAGAGATTACGATACTCTGGGGCAACGGGAGCTTCCGGGTAGCCATCGCCGCGGTGGCGGGGAGCAACTCGTGGGTAGGTAATTTGTGGGTTGGTTGAGTAGTGGTCATGAGCCGGTGCCTGCGATATATTGGTGGCTATGGCCAGAGATGATGACATAAAATCCGAAGTACAACCCCCATCACAGTTGTGGCTTCTTCCATCACAGCCATCAGGGCTGAAGATCCTCGTAGGCTCGAGGCTTAGACTGCCTCTCTGGACCCACGCAGTCTCATCGAGCATGCTATTGCTATCCACAAGGTCAGCGTAGTCGATTAGGGCTGCTGTATCCCCTCGTCCCTGGAGGCAGACTACTACAGCCCCAGCAAGATCATTTGGGCTCACACGCGCCTCGATACTAACGAGGTACTGTCCTGATCACGTGTCTCCATCCATGCACCACCCGGTCTCAGATCCAACCATGTCGTGTCCATCTGCGCTGCTCCTTTGAGGGGAATGAAGATGTGGCGTAGTAGCAGTTCGTCAACGGGATGCGAAAGCCTGGTGGGATATTTTCTCATACACGACCTTGGGAAGGTGGGGTCTAGGCATCCAGCCCCTCCCTACAGTAGGTACCGCAGACGATCACCGAATCAGCGCCGCTTTTCGATAAGCATGTTGGAATGGGAAAGCGATGGAATAACTGGGTGGCCGGGGTCAAGAGAAAGGCGCCAGAATCGTTGTTCGCGGCACAATTTTGCGGAGTATCGATGGAAGCCGTCACGGTGAGAGTCTGGGGGAGAGGATGCGATGGGAGGCCTTCATACGCGAGCGAGAAGCTGTCCACATATGCGTGCGCTAAGCCAAACCGGGAAGGGGTGTGGTTACACAACGGCTGAAAGGGCACTCGGGTATTTGACAGCACAGCAGAGCGAGCTGCCAAGATGATCTGGTGTCCCGTCCCAATGAATG